CACTGATCCACTTTCTGGCTCTACGCATTTGACTTTTTTGGATAATTTACCTAAGTGGACTCTTAGCTAGCCTTTTGGATCTAGCTTTTTTCACTTAACACAACGTTTTCGAGATGAAGCCGCATTCTGCACTTGGCCCTTGAACAACATGGGAGTAAAGGGAACCCATCTTCCATGCAGTTGAAGATTCACAAATAACTTTTGACTCCCCAGAACTTGACTACTAATAGCCTATTGTCGACCAGAAGCCTTACTCAAACATAGTCAATATGTATTTTATCTTTATAGCATTATATAGCATATGCTTGCAATAAGGTAAGCTAGAGAAAAGAACACGTTATTTAAAAAAACATAAGGAAGAGAAAATATATTTTTTATTTTTAAGTGGAAATAGATAATCATAAACATTTTCACCCTCCTTGTGTTCATGTTGAGTAGGCTGAGGAGGAGGAGGAAGAGGAGAGGTTGGTCTTGCATCTCAGGGGTGGCAGAGGAGGGAGAAAGTCAAACCTGTTTTATTCAAGGGTTAACTATAGTAAGATCTGTAGATCATTTCTTTTTATTGCTGAATAGTATTCCATTATATAGAATTGTATTAATCAATTCCCCAGTTGATATTTAGATTGTTTCTAGTTTGAGGCTATTATTCACACATGAATTGATATTATTCATATAGTACTGTATTCATATATTTATCCATTTATGAATTCATTTTATTCATATAGACTTGTGTTCATGTACAAGTCTCTTTTTGCATAGACTTATGTTTTCATTTTATCTTTGTAGAATTCTGGTGTGATATGTTCATGTTTGACATTTTATGAAAATGCCTAATTGTTTTACAAAGTGGCAGCACAATTTTATAATCTCACCAGCAATCTGTGAGAGTTCCAAGTTCTTCATCTTAATAAACACTTGGTATTGTCTGTTGTTTTATTTTAGAAATACTAGTTGTTGTGTAGTTGTAGCTCATTATAGTTTTAATTTGCATTTTCCTACTGACCAAATAGAGAACCTTTTCATGTGCTTATTAGCCATCCATATGTCTTCTTTGGTGAATGCCTATTCAAGTCATTTGTTATTTTTAAATTGGGTTAACTAATTTGTTTTATTATTGAGTTATAGGTGTTCTTCATATATTTTGGATACAAGTCCTTTATCAGAGATATGATTTGCTGACATTTTTTTCCTATATGTAACTTGCCTTAAATTTTTTTTTTTAATTTTAGAAGTTTTAGATTGACAGAAAAATTGCAAAGATATTATAGAGAGGTCGTATATACTGTACACCCAGTTTTCCATATTATTGACAGCTTATAGTTATATGATACATTCATTTTAATAAACCAATATTGATACATTATCATTACCTAAAGTCTATACGAATATTTCACTGTGTCTTTCTTATCAAATGTCCTTTTCTGTTCTGGGATTCCATCCAGGTCACCATGGAACACTGAGTCATCATGTTCACTCCTTAGGCTCCTCTTGGCTGTGGCAGTTTCTCAGACTTCCCTTGGTTTTGAAGAACTCACCAGTTTTCAGGCATGCTGGTCAAATATTTTGTAGGATACCCTCTAGTGGAATTTGTCTGATGTTTTGCATTACTATATTGGGGTTATGGGTTTTTCAGAGGAAGACCACCGAGGTAAAGTGCTATTTTCATAACATCACATCAAGAGTACATACTATCAGCATGACTTATCACTGTCAATGTTTACCTTGATCACCTGGCTGAGGTCATGTTTATCCAGTTTCTTCACCATAAAGTTACTCTTTTTTACACTGTCCTTCTTGGAAGGAGTCACTGTGTGTAGCCAACACTTAAGTTGTGGGGAGTTAAGCCCCACCTCCTTATGGCTATCTACATAGTATATTTGAAATTCTTCTGCATGGCAGATTTATCTCTTCTTTCCAATTTATTTTTTATTTTTTTATTCAATAATTTATTTATATCAGTATAGACTCATGAATATTTATTTTATGCTCTGAGTTATAACCTATTATATATACACATTATTATAATCTATAATACTACTTATTTTTTGTTCAAATTGATCCAACTTGGGTCATTGGGAACTCTTTCTGTTGACTCCTGCATTCCACTGACATACGCCCAGCACTGTGGTAGTTTTTAAAACACTTTCTTATTTCTTGGGAATACAAGATGCTCCAGTATCATCTTGTATATTTCTTACCCTGTCCTAGATTCAGTAATTTCTTCAAGGAGACCTGGTTACTTCTATTGAAGAATGGTGTTAGAAACCAAGATCCTGTTGCTCTGTGTGCTCATTGCTGCTGAAGTATCATCACTTCTAGACCTGCTCAGCTGACAGAGTATATTATTCCATTCTCACACTGCTATGAATAAATACCTGAGTCTGGGTAATTTATAAAGAAAAGAGGCTTAATAGACTCACAGTTTCTCATGGCTGGGGAGGCCTCAGGAAACTTACAATCATTTTGGAAAGTACCTCTCCACAGGGCAGTAGGAGAGGAGAGAATGAGTGCTGGCTAGGGGAAATGCCAGACACTAATAAAACCATCAGATCTCGTGAGACTCACTATCATGAGAACAGCATGGGGGAAATTGCCCAGATGATCCAATTACCTCCAACTTGACATGTGGGGATTATAATTTAAGATGAGATTTTAGGTGAGGACACAGCCAAACCATATCACAGAGCAAGGGAATATATGTGTATACACAAACCAGTGCGTATACACAAATCAGTGCCTATACACATATCTTTTAGCATTTATACATGTAGCCATCTATCTCTATATTAAACAGCAAATCAGGAGCTTATACTAATATCTCTAACTCTAAACCAGACAGTCTCAGTGTCCTCTTACTTATCTGTCACCTCCCTCACCTGGCTCCAACCACCCACATTCCATTTACTTCATTTGGCAAATTGTTTAATTCCTGTATACATGGATATTGGTATCTGAATTGTTAACTTGTACCCTGTGGGAAACAACTTTTATAACTAGAGCACAGTGCTTACACACAATTTCTTTTGCCTTTACTCTTTCTCCAGTCATTTCTAAAGTTACCTAGGTCAGCAACCCCCATCCTGTCAGCAAAGTTGTTTTGCATATTTCTAATACAATTATATTGCTTGGTCACATTCTACTTTTTATCCTGAGATCCTCCAACTCCTAAATGAGTATTATTTAATTTGTAGGTTCATATTTTGTGTGGCAAATTTCTATGGGCTTTGACAAACGTGTAGCATCATGTGTCTACCATTACAGCATTGAACAAAGTAGTTTCATCACCCTAAAAAATAGCCTGTGTTTTACTTACTTTGCCCTTCCCTCCTTCCCCTGAACTCTGGAGAACCACTGGTCTTTTTACTGTTGCTATAGTTTTGCCTTTTCCAGAATATCGTGCAACTGAATCATATAGTATGTAGCCTGACTTCTTTCAGTATGTAGACTGACTTCTTTCACTTAGAAATATGCATTTAGGGTCTCTCCATGTCTCTTTAAGATTTGACAGTTCATTTATTTTTATTACTTTATCTTTTTATCATATAATCATATTTTGTTGTTTGCATAGACCAAACTTTATCTATTAACCTAGTGAAGGACATATTGGTTGCTCAGAGTTTTTTGTTTTGTTTTGTTTTGTTTTGTTTTGTTTTGTTTTGAGATAGAGTCTCACTCTGTGCCCCAGGTTGGAGTACAGTGGTGCAATCTTGGCTCACCCCAACCCCCAACCTTCACCTCTCATGGTGCAATCTTGGCTCACTCCAACCTCCACCACGTGGGTTCTAGCAACTTTCCTGCCTCAGTCTCTCTGGTAGCTGAGATTACAGCATGCGCCATGACACCTAGCTAATCTTTTTTTTTTTTTTTTTTGTATTTTTTGTAGGGGTTTCACCATGTTGGCCGGGTTGGTCTCAAACTCCTGACTTCGAGTCATCTGCCTGCCTCGGCCTCCTAGTGCTGGGATTACAGGTGTGAGCCAGCTGTTCCTGGCTTGCTCACAGTTTTAGTGATTATGAGTAAAACTGCTATAAACACTTGGGTACAGGTTCTTGTGTGGAGAGAGCTTTCTAATTGGTTGGGTAAATATCTGAGATAATGACTGCTGCATCTTGTGATAAGAGTGTGTTTCAGTTTGTAAGAAACTTGTGGCTGGTCTTTTAATTTTCTTAGTAGCATTTTTTGAAGTATAAACATTTATTTTAGTAAGGTCCAATTTACCATTTTTTCCCTCTTTTATTGCTAATGTTTTTGGTGTCATATGTAGGAATGCCTTATCTAACCTGAGGTCATAAAATGTTTCTCCTGTGGTTGGTTTATTGTAGAAGTCTTATTGTTTTAGCTTTTACATCTAAGTCTGGTTCATTTTAAGTTAATTTTTTTTGAAAGAAAAAAAAGAAAGAAAGAGAGAAAGAAAGAAAGAAATATAAATAAATAAATAAAAAGTAAAAAAAAAAAAGAATGAAGGAGAGGAAGAAAGAGGAAGAGGAAGAGGGAGAGAGAACGGAGGTGTTGCTTTATTGCCCAGGCTAGAATGCAGTCTAAAAATGGGTATTGAAAACCTCTTTTATACCAATAATTGTGCTTAATAATGAAGACAGGAACAAATGAGGGATGAAAATAACAAACAAGCAGCCAACCAATATTTCATTTAAACCTGTAAGTAGGTGTGATGCAGTGCTAATAAGACTGTATATTTTGTGTGTTTAAAGTGTATTTAAGTTAATTTTTGTGTACAGTATGAGAAAGCGGGGCTTAGTTTCTTTTTCTTTCTTTTTTATTTTTGCATATAGATATCCAATTGTCCTAGGCCAATGTGTTGAAAAGACCATCCCATTGAATTTTCTTGGGGCCTTTTTTGAAAAATTATTGAGCATTATTAATATATGAATTTCTTTCTTATAATTGCATATGCTACACTTAATCATCCTCTAGCTCTTTAGATGACATTATTAGGTCAGTATATTTTCCATATTTTCTGTCTGTCCTTCTTCGACCTCTACATTTAGGAAGTTAGTTTAGGCAACTGTTGCAATAGTTGAGGAGAAACATGATGGCAGCTTGGACAAGAAGGTAGCAGTGGAGGTGGTGAGAGGCAGTTGATTTCAGATACATTTTAGAGGTAGGGCTGATATTATTTGCTGACAGATGCAATGTATGGTGTAAGAAGTGACAGGTCAAGGACTCCAAATGTATGAAGGCAAGCAACTGGAAGGATGACATTACTGTTAACCATTAACTAAAATGAGAAGACTGTAAGTGGAGCCAGTTTGGCTGTAGGGATCTGGAGCTCAGTTGTAAACATGTGATGTTTGAGATGGATATCAGATGGCCAGAATGTAGCAGGATGTATGAGTCTGGAGTTCAGAGGTGACATTTGTGCTAGCTACACAAATTTAGAAGCATCAGCTTTTAGATGGTTTTAAAGATCCATGAGACCAGATGAGATCACCTAGGGAGTGAGTACAGATGGAAAAGAAAAAAGGCTCATGAACTAAGTCCTGGGACACTCCAAAGTTAAAGAGTTTGGGAGGTGAGGCAGAGCCAGGATAGGAGGCTGAGAAGCAGCAGCCCGCTGAATGCAGGAACGCACAAGATGACGAGGAGAGTGTGTGTCCTGGAAGCTAAGCGATGAGAATATTTCTAGAACCAAAAGTGATAAATTCTGTCCATTGATGCTAAGCAATCAGGAAAAACGCAGACTAACAACTGTTGGAGGAATTAGCAATTGATCATGGGTGACCAGCCAACAGCAGGTAGGTGCAGTGGGGGTGGGATTGGTGGGAATGGGGAGGGAGCCTGAGTGGAGCATGCTCAAGAGAAGGAAAAGGATGATTTTGTGGGATGACCAACTTGTCCTGGTTTGTCTGGGAATGTTCCTGGTTTTAGCATGAAGATTTGCATCCTATGACTTCTGGTTTGAAAACAGAAAGATTCCATGTCCTGGAACTCTTTCATTTCCAGGCAAACTGGGGTGGCTAGTCACCCCAATTTGAAGACACGGGAATAAATAGGTTTTTCAAGCAATGGTGTGTTAACTAGAGGAGGAAATGGTATCTGTCTATCATCTATCTACCTACCTACCATCTATCTACCTGTTTGAATGTGGAGGCAAAAAAGCGTGTTTGCATCCTGATAGAAAAAGCCCAGTAGATAGGGAAGATTTGTGAGTCAGGAGTAAGAGGGAAGGGTAGCTGGTGCAATGTCTTCATTATGTATTTTATCGGAGTGAGATGAAATACAATGACAGCATCAGTAGATGGGTGGCCCTAGCTAGGCACATGACCAGGCATCCATTGTGGCAGGAGGGATGGCAGAGGCATGGTCAGAGTGGCAAGTGAGTGGGCAGATGATTGCCTACATTTTGCCAGCGAAAAAGGAAGCGAGGTCATTAGCTCAGAGTGATTTGGGGCTGAGGGTGTAGGAGGTGAAGGTATGAGATGAAGGCATAAAGTATTTATTTAGGACAGTGGGAATGTGGAAGGGTTCGAGGAGTAGAGAGTGCCTGCTCTCCAGGATCCAAGCTCTCTTGAGGCTAGTGATCATGAATTTAAAACGGGGCCAGAGGGTATGGTTTTCTCTGGCTACATTCAGCAGCTCGAGTATTGGCACGGAACAGGAAGAGAGTCAGAGGGCTTGTCAAGAAGCGCTGATAAAGCAAGAGGAGCAGGGGCTGTGACTGATTATGACACTGAAGTTGGGCAAGAAGGCAGTGAGGACCTGAGAGAAGAGAGAGAATTGAAAACCAGTAGAATCGATGGATGTGCGTCCCAGTGGGACTAGAGGATTGCTGGAGTTGGGTACCAAAAGGAAGGAGCTGGAAAGAGAGGAGGTGGTGGGTGATCTGAGAGTAGAATACTTGAGATGGTGGGAGGTCGCTGTTGTAACAACCAGTGTCTATGGAATGACTGTAAGAGCAGTCAAAGTTCATGTGGGTTCCTGTCAACTTGCAGCTGTTTCTTGGCACCAACTCAAAGTGAGGTTCCACCCTTCTCCTTTTCACACATGAGTCAGACTCTGTCACTACTGGGCTGCTTGCCCACTCAGCTTAAAACCGTCTGGCACACTTCCCAGAATGAACATGGATTCTATTTAAAAAACAAGAAAATATGTCACACTGATGAGCATTTGTCCATGCACCCAGGGTGGTTACATGATGGTAGCATGTTGTATACACCTGTGTAATGAGTTCTTGTAGGATGGGCCCATCACTTCCATCTCTATGTCCTTTCAGCCCTAGAGCTGTGCCTGGCACACAGTTGGTACTCAATGGATGCTTACTCAAGTGACTTATATAGGATTGAATGTTAAGAGGAGACTCTTATGAAGACCTCAGTCTCTGCTCTGCAGTCTCCTCTCATAGAGGCGATTCCCTCATGGAGAGAATTTTACAGGCAAAGTTTAGGGAGCCTTTGTTCTTGCTTCCCTGAATCCTTTGCAGGAACACAGCTGCAGCACATAAATGACCTTCAAATGTAATGTAATACTTGGTAGCTCTCTTTTCAAAGAGACTCAGAGACAGTCCCTGCATGTTTTCCTTCTAAGACACTTGTGCAGGAGACCTGAAACCCACTCGACCCATCGGATGACAGCTGGCAGCAATGACAGGACAGTCCTGCCCCTTCATGTCACAAACCTGTTCCCAGGACACTCTCCACAGAGTCCCCAAGTCCTGCCAGGAAGACAGCCTGCCCAGCAGCATAAGAACGCCCACCGTCACACCCACACCCACCCTCCCACCCACACCCACACCTACACCCACACATGGAGTTGTCATTTGCTGCTTTATGAGGTTGGTCTTTCAAAGGAGAACAATAGTTTGGCTACAATCCAGGTGGCGAGGGTCTGAGAAAACTGGAAGCCAGGGAAAAGCTCAGAAGCCAGCAGCAGATAGGAAGCTGGTGAAAATCCATGAGAGTGAAGTACGTCTGAGATAGTCATGGGAAAGTTGGCATTAAGGCAAGGAATGAGTTTGGCTGGTCATCTGTGTAACTGCGGACCTTGGTTTGTTGATCTGTGAAATGGGAGAATCACTCGCAGGTGCTTTGTGCAAGGACCAGAGGATGGAGCCATAGGTTGTGTGCTGTGCCAATGAGCTCCAGCCACAGTTTTCCTTCTTCTTCAGGAGCCCCAAGCATTGCACAGCACTGGGAGGGTTGGGGGTGGGGGCGAGGAGGTGTGAACTCTTTTCACCTGATGGTGACTTTGCTTTGGGATTCATCACTTTCCCCATGAAGGGGAGTTTGCAACTGCCTTCCTCAAAAATTAATAGTTAGAAGGACCTGTTGAAACAGAGGGTGGGGACAAAGTACCCAGGGAAGGACTGGAGGTTGGTGACATCTTCCTCTTCTGCTCCTTCCTCTTCCTTGGTCAGTTCCACCCTGTGCTCTGCCTTGGAGGGACCACGGTTCCCAGTGTTGATCCAGCAGAAGTTGTCCCTTCCTCCAGCAAGTGCCACACTGAACCTCAGTCTGAGCATGGCCCAGGAGGCCCAGGTTCGTTTCCTGGTTAGAGGCATGATCTGGTGCATCCTGTTCCCTGGGGGAGTCTCAGTTTCTTTGTCTGCTCCTTCCCTCCAAACCAGGAGTGGGGTTTTTTGCCTTAGCAGCAAGCTTGGGAACCCTTCTTCCAAGTCCCAGACCCAGCCCTCTCCTCAGATCAGCTGTCCTCAGGACACCAGTGGGTGCTGTAATTTGACATTTCCACTTTTGACTTCCCCCAGCAGTGGAGCAGCATCACGGTGGCTCCACTGGGGCGTGGTGAATGTGTGAGAAAATGTAGGCACTTTTAGAAATGACTGGACACCAGTGGATTTTAACTTACCTTGAAGGCCTTCATGGACATGGTTTGCAGAGAAATTCTCAAGCCCTGCATGGTAACTGAAAATATCTGAGATGCCCGTTTCAGGCAAGGGCTGGTCCAATTGAATATGCCCAGGTAGAGAGAATTTAGGAAAATACTGCCTCCTCTTTCCATTCAGGAGAGTGAGAGGAGAAAACAGAGACGACATAATGTCATCTAATAAACTGCCCCCACCAGCAATCTCACTAATAAACTGCCCCCACTAGCAATTTCACTGCAGAATAACAGAATAAAGTTAATGTCAGCTGTGTTTCCTGAGTGCCTGCAATATGCAGGTCTGTGCCAGGTTCTTTACAAGGAAATTTTGATTCATCTTCACTGTAATCCCGGGCACTGGGTGCCCCGAATACCCACTGTACAAATAAGAAAATGGAGGGTTGAAGAGGTCAAGAGATTTGCCCAGTGGTTGGGAACATGGTTCATAAAAAGCTAGGAGTGAACTGAACGCAGAAGCCTCTTCTCTAGCGTGATGCTGCTTCTCAGACTGGACGTGGCCTGCTCCTGAGCGCAGTGGAATAGAAGCATCTGTCTGTCTGCTTATCTTTGTTCCAACACAAAGCCTTCCCCTGTTTTCTTCCCTCTGTAAGGTCAGCCTTGAGGGCCTCGAAGGTCCTGGGGGAGGATTGAGAGCTACTTTTTCTTGTGTTTACCTTTCCGTGTCTTACATCAATGACACATGATGGGGACATGTTCTTACTTAGAAGTGAAATCTAGAAAGTCAAACTCTTAGAAGCAAGAGCAGAAGTGGGTGGCCAGGAGCTGGGGAGAGGGAACTGGGGAGAGGTTGATCAAGGGATAAAAGTTCAGATGAACACATTCCGGATTCCTATTGTGCACCATGTGCCTAGAGGTATGTATACAGCACTGTGTGCTTGAAATGCACTAAGAGATTAGATCTTAAGTGTTCTCACCATACACACAAAAAGTGGTACTTATGTGAGGTGATGGATCTGTGAATTAGTTGGACTGTGGGAATCATGTTCAATGTACGCGTACATTGAAACAGCACGTTGCACACCTTAAACATACACAACTTTTATTTGTCAATTCTACCTCAAGAAAGCTGGAAACAGATTAAAATGAAAAGCACAAATTAGGGAACAAAGACAAACCATCTGTGGGCACAGTTTCTGCATGGCAGCCTGAGGATGACTTGTGTCCACAGCCTGGGGGACGGCTGAGCATTGAGAATCTATCTTCCCAGCTTTAGCTTCCCAATTGCCTTGACCACAAGAAAGCACGCCTTCTTCCCTCTTCCCACTATGACTCACCTAGCAGCTTCCTGGTAGCAGGAGGCTGGAGCCTCCTAGCAGCTCCAGCATGGGTAAACCAAGCAAAGTGGGGGGTGGCGGGAAAGCTGGAGGCTGTCTCCTGCCTCTCCAGGAGAAGGGTGCTTGAGGAGCATGAGAAAGTCCCATCAGGATGAGCTCAACCCTCAGCTCCATGCAGCCCATGGCATGTCCATCAGACAGGTCTTCGGCAGGGAATGAAAACTCAGGGCTAAACAAAGTGCACGGTCCCCGCCTTCTATGATCCCATGGTCCACACACATAGTCTACAATACGAGTGACTCTGTGCCCCTGAAAACATCTGGCAATGATTGGGGACATTGTTTGGTCATCACTACTGTGTGTGTGTGTGTGTGCTGCTGGCATTCAGTAGGTAGAACATCCAGGGGTGCTGCTAAACATCCTGTAATGCACAGAAAAGCCCCTGAACAGCACAGGGCTCTCCAGCCCATGATGTGACGAGGCCGAGAAACTCTGATTTGGAAGACAGGGCTGGGTCTGAGGACAGAAGGATGGGTGTAGAGAAGGCACTTAGGGCACAACACGTGGGTAACCACTTGGTGATTTTTAACGACGGGGGATCTGGAAGATCTATCAAGAAGCAA